CCATTATGAGCCCCTCGGCCGGGCCGCCCCCGCCCCCCACCAGGGCGCCAATTCTCTCAGCGGGGGTGCGAGCGGGGGAGGGCGCGGCGGGGCCCAGCACAGGTGAGGCGGGGCACGGGCGGCGGCCGGGCCAGCAGTTGGCCCCAGAGGGCCCCGTCCCTCGTATCCCATGTCCGGATCTTGCTTCCGTGAGCAAGGCGAATGGCAGGGGGATGCACGTCCGCCAGACCGGCCGTTCCTCGAGCTTGTTGGTGTCCTTCGTGGCTCTTTACATGTCCGCTCCCCTGCGCCTCATGCAGAGCTGAGCGGCCTGTTTGAGGACGAGGCGGCGCGGCTGCGCTCGACGGAGGCGGTGGAGTCGGAGGACATGCACGCCCAGATCCAGCAGCTACTGCGCATGTTCAACGACGGCGCGCAGTCCCCGGGGGTGCTCTCCGCCGACCTGCAGCAAGGCGCGTTTGCGGCCGACCTCGACAAGACGCTCCGCGAGTTCGGCCTCGCCCAGGTGAGCGCCACGCGCCAGCGGCCGAACGGTCAGGCGCAGCTTGCTGAGGATGCTTCGTGCTGGATAATGTGGGTTTTGGAGCCGAAGGGACCGGTGGTGACATCCCGTCTGAGGCCTTTCCATGGTGGACGGTACAGGAGTTGGAGGCGGGGACGCCCCCGGAGAAGATCAAGCTGAACGGGGCCCACGTGGGCTGGCTCAAGCTCAAGGCCGCCCTGCGATGGGGCATCTTCATCCGCAAGCGTGCAGCGGAGCGGCGCGCGCAGATGCAGGGGAGCACGGACGAGGCAGCCTAAGCAAGGGGACGCATGTAAAGATGCTTTTGGCTTCATGCCATTGCCTATCAATCTCTCACGTTTGAGCATTGTATGCTTTAGGAACGGTGTATGATATATGAAGTACGTTTGTGGTAAAGAAGGGGTCGGATGTAAAGGCTGAAATGCCCTTGAATCAAATCAAGTCAAAGATGAAGAGTGTTCGAGCGGGCCTCTAAGAACCTATAGAGAGCTCGAGTCCTTGTGGAGCTCCTCGTAAATTACGACTCTTGCTATATTCTGTTGTAAAGATTTGTCTAGTTTACGAGAACATTTTCCCCAAGTATCCGAGCTACAGCATCTTAGCAAGATGCTGACAATATGCTGTAGGTGATTCAATGATTGATGCAAGGGCAACAAAAGCAATGGTGTCCGACATACGTTTTGTATTGTGACGGCCGCATACTACTATTATATGATATTTTGATTAAGGTGGACCGTGCAAGATACTAAATATGCCAGCAAAACAAAATGGGTTGAAATTTCAGTAAATCTATCTTGTATAAGATATATGCGCACATGATCTTCATTATAGAGTACCTGCTTACTGATGTACATGTTCAATTCAAATCATGCAAGAATGATCATCGGATATCGGTCTAAATGAAAACCCTTCACGAATTGGCCACCAGCCGTTGGTTCGTGCGACTGGATGGATGTGAATGGATCGATCATGATAGAGTCGAATTATTCAGTGATCTGTACAAGTTGCGCGCCCAAATAAAAAGAACCGTATTCGTCTGCACGCCGGCCCGTTGATGCACCGACAGCAGACGAAGACGTGTAAAAGATTATATCCAAATTCGTTTAGTAAGGAAGATATGAATCAAGGACATGTATACGTTTAATTAACAACTCAAATTACAACATGCTCTGAATCAATTCTTTTACCTACATTTTTAGGGGTTTTAGGGTTTTAGGGTCTTCTTTAGGGTTTTAGGGTTTTAGGGTTTTAGGGTTTTAGGGTTTTAGGGTTTTAGGGTTTTAGGGTTTTAGGGTTTTAGGGTTTT